TGTTTTATGCCACCAAGCATTATGTTGATACAACATATCCTCAAAGTCAACATATAAATCTGAAGTCTTCAAAAATACATAACTGATATTAGTGAAAATTGATGCTTTTCTCAAACCAGTGCGAGTTCTCTTGAATTCTATATTTAGTCTATTTATACATGTAGCTTTTTCCAATAATTAGCTTGCCAAAAGATTGATGAACTGAGCTTTAATTGGTACATGTATGTGAGGATGGGGTGGGGTGGGTATTTATTCCACAATTCAGCTAAGTAACACAGGGCTGACTCTTGAAAACAGCAATTTTACATGAAAACTTCAGATACATGTTCAGGTACATATTATTACAAAGAAAAAATAATTACACCTCATTCTGAACATGTTCACAATATAAATACAATGCTAGGCAGATGAAAATGAGTAAACCATAACATCAAGAAAATTTACGTGGTTTACAATTCACCAATCATAGACATGTTTGCATTTTCCTCACAAGGCTGTTAATAAACAGACAATCAACCAATGAAAACTCATATAATAAATGATGTAGAATCAGTGTGTACACAATGTTATAATTTAAATTCCATCTGTACATTCTACATGACCATGGGTCAAACATTAAATTTCACTGCATAGTGAGTATTCACATTTTCCCCAATACAATGTGGATGAAATTCATTTTATCAGCCTGGCAACATTGATGAAATTAACAGCTATTTCTGCCATTTTGTTTCTTCATTTATTCATTTTAAAATTTGCAAGATCATTAGTACCTGATTTTTTTTAATGAGATCATTTCCACAGAAATCTTAATGGCATAAATTTCTCTTCATTACAAAATTAATTAGCTTAACTATTAATGATATAAAAGATTTCTCTCTGGTGATCAAAGATTGGAATGTTAACGTCCCCTTTTGACGAATGAATTGATTTTTGGTCTGACAGGAAAAAAAGATCTCAATTTGTTTACAGATATCATAGATAATGTTTCATTAATTTAGACTTATTTCCTTAACCAAAAACAATTAATGATTTGAAAATTAAATTCATATAATAAAACAAATTCAAAGGATAAAAAATAAATTTCTAATTAACTGAAATCTTAATTGTCTTCTATATCTTCTCCTAATTCTTTACATTAGAAAATCAGCTTACAACATTTTAAACCTTTTTAACTGACATAAACATTATCAAAGTCAACACTTGATTCATATGTGTAATGTCCTATGACATTTTTCATTCATAAAAACATTCTAACACAAAAATCAGAATAAAACAGTTAATACAATGACTAGTTACATTTCACAATGGCTTGTAAAACAAAAAAATGTTTACATTGCTTGTGAAAAAAAAAAATTATCAAATTTCCTGTTGCCTGACAGAATTCTAAAGGAATAAAAATAAATATCAAGTGAAGATTATTTACATGATGTTGGTTATTTAAATAAAATCTGCACAGAAAGCATATTAGATGTTAGATATAAATTAAAGTAAATCAAGCCAATCAATTTGCATGAGCTACATTTTGAGCAGAAAGCCATTGGAGTCAGGATAGGGGTCAAAGGTCAACTTTGGGTTCAAAGTTCAACTTTTCTTTTTTTCTTTAACTTATCATCCTGTGACATACAATGTATAATTCCAATAAAAAAAAACTATTTTTCATTACATCTATATACAATACATACAGCTTGGCAATTTTTATGGGAGAGTAACCATGGTAACAGCTTAATATCTTTGTACAAAGAAAAAACAGAACATAAATATTTCAGGAAACAATCAACAGTCAAAGCTAGACACCTAGGGGTCACTAGCAAGCAGGTCAAGGTCATTGTATATATACAAACAAACACATGTACCAAGTGTGCATGCAACAACAGAAAATACAGCCAATAACAGTTTGACCTTGACCTTTAAGCTTAGAAGGAGGATTATTGAATTCTTATGTACAAAAGAAGGTCAACATTCTCACCTTCCACAAACTGACCTTGAGAATGCTAGGCATGTTCACACAAGAGTCTCATTTTAGCTTCACCTATTAATCTACATTGTGCACATAAGTTCTCTTATATTGGAATACTGATATGTTTTTTTGTTCCGATAAGTTGCACATAAAAGAGTGTCCTCCATTTAAATGATGGAATATGAACAATGATCTATTCACAAAATATCACCGTTTGTAAAATGCTGTCAAAAATGTTCTCATCACTAATCAATGTTCATCAACATTGATAAAAAAATGTATAAATATGTTGTTGTTTTTTCAAGTGATGTCAACATTTGTTCATAAAACATTCACTCAAATTTTGATTATTATATAAACCATGCCTCGTTTGATATTTTGAACATTTTTTTCTCAGCAATGATTTCTTCCTTATCATTCTGCACACATACAATGATGGACAATATGCATTTTTCACTTTCATTACTATTAACTCGTGGTACATCTTAAGCACTAGTCATTTTCAATTTACATGTTGCTTTCCCACATACTAAGCATGATCACAAATCGTACAATAAAATGAAGTCATGGGATATCACCAATAGTAATGAATTCTCAGTTGTTCAAATGTTTTGACATCTATTTCTTAGAAGGAGATGTCAATTAAAACATTTACTCCATGAAAAACCTGAGAATGCTTGTGCTAAGGGGGGTAGCTAAGTAACCCCAGAGTAAAATGTCATGTATTGCTAATGCATCTCGCACAATTGTAAAAAATATTTTCCTGAACAAGCCAACCTTCAAGAGTATCTGAATGCTATATTTGAAACGAATGCAAAATCAGTCTGCATTTTGAAGCACTAAAAATTTTAACATCCCCTTAATTTTTACATATATTGTTTATGTTAATTATTGAAAACTTTAATAACAGGCTTGAGCACTGCTCAATTCATACCAAATGAAATAAAAAAAGAAGTTAGGACTAGGAATTTTCATTATATTGACATTAATTTGATTTTTTTTCAAAGAATACAAGGAAAGTTTAGTACCAGTTCTCAATTTTTTTTAAAAGTTTAGTTTACCTCTACTAATATAACAAAATTAATTTCACACATCTTTAGGACACATTTTTTTTTTACTTTACTTGAAAAAATAAAATTATGCTTGATGCTACTAAGTTCAATGATTGAGAGCATGATTTTCAGAATCTCTGATGATCATAACCTTCCAATACATTGGCAGAACAAGCAAGAAAAGGAATGTTAGGAATTTTGGGGGCTGCTGACAAAACTGAATCCCTGTGGCTTTCAATTTTTAAAAGCTACTGTAAAACTAACTTTTATTTGGGTGCAAGTCTTGCAACCTTCTTTAACTCTGGAATATTATTTGCCATAAACCATTTTCTTTGCTGTGATTTTGTACAGAATGTTTCCCAAGTCCGTAAAATTAATTTTTGCCTATTTTTGACTATAGGACCTATCCAAGAGCAGATTATCTGCAAGTTAAGTTAAATTTTGCATATGTTACAAATATAGGAAACTTTGCCAGAGCAAAAATATAAACCTCCTTTTTTGACTTCTATGAACAAGAGGGGGGGGGATTGTTTGGTTGCCTGTTTTTTGTGATAACAGTGACACTTGTCTAATCTGCACTTGTGTAAATTCTGAAATATTGCCTTAATTCCTTATAAAATTTTAGTCTTTATCAGCTATTTCAGTTGTTTAAATTGCTACTTAATCTAGAGAATATTGTCTAATCTGGCCAATTTCTAAACCATGGGACATTTAACACAGTTACCATGCATTGGGGGGGGGAGGGAGAGGTGCACATTGGTCACTGTAAACTACCGGGTATCTTTTATTCACATCATCTTTTATTTTCCTTTAAGCAATGTAAAATTAATCAGCCACAACAAGTGAACAAAGTTATCACTGGGATTCAAAAATCGATCAGGTACCTCGAAAATTCCAATATAAACCTTTTCCACTTTTTACATGATAAAGCAAGCTCTCTGTTATAAGTGAGGGGTTTTTATGCATTGGAATTTTTAAAACCCCTTCTTGTAAATAAATATTAAGATATTTCCCTGAGAAAATATACAATATGTATAAATATTGTATTTTATAATCTGTACCACAATTAACTTATTTTAAGCCATATATTAGCGAAATGAGCAGTTTTGTACCTAATACTCTTGAAAAAATATAAATTATAATCGTGTACTCTACAAATGTCTAACCCTCAAAAGGAATGAAAATCCTTCTAAACCATTCTTTTATCCAAATAATTCATTTGAACTATTCTATTACTTTTTTTTCCAAAAAAAAAAAAAATCTTATCTGCAATTGTAAACAATACGTTTTTTTCCCATATAAAAATTCATCAAATTCACATTTTATTTATGCTTAGATTTGTGAATTTCTCTTAAGAAAAATTAAAATACAATTAAGGCATTTCTTTTCAAAGAAAAATAAACAAGACCTTTGATACATTTCAAATGATGCAAAAGTATATATACAATACAAAGAAGGCGAGACTAACTAATTTTCTTAATTATTCATTAAATTAATAAATAAATAATGTAGAGTGCAGAGGTAGATGGGAATTCTTTTTTTTTTTTGAAAGAGTATACTGGTTGATATTTTTGAATTACTTTTTTATATACATCAAGGTTGAACTTCTTTACAATATTATTTTAAATAAATCTATTCTTAGCCATCACATATTATTTCTTAATGTATGCAGGTGCCTGTTTAGTTTAAACTTTTAAAAAAAATAATTTAAATGTTGTATCCCACCTAACAGTAACTTTCAATCAACTGGTAAATGTCATCGGTAGAAAATTAATTTATATGCATGAAAAAATCAGACAAAAAATTATTGTAAATGATGGAATAGTATTATATTGAAAGTAAAACATTTAGGAGGAATGTTGTTTTGCATATTGTCACCTTTAATTTTACTCTGTTTCACAGCACTTTCTGAATAGACTTTTTGCAAAAATACATTAAATTTTAAATGCCATAATTTAAAAATCAGAGCACTCACTGTCCAGATGTCCAGTATCAAAATCAAAAATATCTTAACTAATTCGGCTAAAAAAAAAATCACACAAATTCCATTACATTACAGTCTTTCAACAAAAATCTTCTCAAAAATATTGACATAAATTCTTATAATTACTTTGATTCTCCAGTAATCATATAGCAATTTGAGATCCTAAAGGAAAGAAAAAAAAAATACATATATTGCAATCAAAACCTTTTTCTGGTTGCCCAGCAAAACCAAAAAAAAAATGTCATGAAAATACATGCATCACAGGATTCTCTATAAGGAGTCTGTAATATTTGCACTTTGGGGAACTTAGTTATTGTGTGCTGTCATTTCCTGTGTGATGTCACTTCCTGCGGTGTTTGCGGCGCCGGTTGTGGCGGTAGATGGAGGAGTGGAGGTTGGCCGCCGTCGGATGAGGTAGTCGCTTGAGAGGGATGGTGCACATCTGAAAATTCTCCAACTCCTTCTCTGCAACCCAGCAGTCTGGTATTCTACAGAAGAAAAGTGAAAGTAGCTTTATAAGTATGCAAAGCAAAGAGACAAATTTAGAAAATTGTGACCGCAAAATGGTCATATTAGTTAAGGTGCTATGATCAATGAAAAAATTGTAATTGTTTTGTTAGCATTTTCATTGTGCATAAAAAAAGTAATAAAATTTATAAAAAAAGTCTTAACTGCACTTTTGTATAACAAATTTCTGCGTTAAAATTTGTGATTATTTTCATAGTGTAGGTATATCTGACACGGTACAAGGGACTTCTATAGTATTTGCCCATTGCCTGAACCATTTGAACAGCCTTTACATAGGACTTACACATGCTCTGGCTGCCAGTGAAGAAGGGCTTGGACTTTCCCATTGCGATCAGTTCTCTTTGCTATAACCTACAAGGACAATTATTCAATCTTCATCACTTGTATACAGAGAAATTGTATCGAGAGTCAAAGTCTATTACTGCTACATTCAATGTATGAATACATTTATTTTATTCTTAAGATTATATTGCAATAGTGGAAAGTAAAAAGGCATGTTCCAGGGGAATTGTGGGTATTTGTACATTGTGAGCCATTTAACATGGTAAAATAATTTGTTAATTAGATGACTTACTTGGCTGTGGAATGTGGCGGAGTGGGAGTGAGAGGACTTACTTGGCTGTGGAATGTGGTGGAGTGGGATTGAGGTGACTTACTTGGCTGTGGAATGTGGCGGAGTGGGAATGAGAGGACTTACTTGGCTGTGGAATGTGGTGGAGTGGGATTGAGGTGACTTACTTGGCTGTGGAATGTGGTGGAGTGGGATTGAGGTGACTTACTTGGCTGTGGAATGTGGTGGAGTGGGAGTGAGAGGACTTACTTGGCTGTGGAATGTGGTGGAGTGGGATTGAGGTGACTTACTTGGCTGTGGAATGTGGCGGAGTGGGAGTGAGAGGACTTACTTGGCTGTGGAATGTGGTGGAGTGGGAGTGAGGTGACTTACTTGGCTGTGGAATGTGGCGGAGTGGGAATGAGAGGACTTACTTGGTTGTGGAATGTGGCGGAGTGGGAGTGAGAGGACTTACTTGGCTGTGGAATGTGGCGGAGTGGGATTGAGCTGTGGAATGTGGTGGAGTGGGAGTGAGAGGACTTACTTGGCTGTGGAATGTGGCGGAGTGGGAGTGAGATGACTTACTTGGCTGTGGAATGTGGCGGAGTGGGAGTGAGAGGACTTACTTGGCTGTGGAATGTGGTGGAGTGGGATTGAGGTGACTTACTTGGCTGTGGAATGTGGCGGAGTGGGAGTGAGATGACTTACTTGGCTGTGGAATGTGGCGGAGTGGGAGTGAGAGGACTTACTTGGCTGTGGAATGTGGCGGAGTGGGAGCTGCCGTTGAGATCAATGTGTGAGAGTTCTGTCGTGTGGGTCAGGTCCTCCTGTATCCTCTCCATTATACCATCATCAAAAAAATCCACCTGTTTCACTGAAAAAAAAAAAAAAACAACACACATACAGTAAATGAAAAAGTTTAGGGAGTGAATTCTCTCATTATCATGATTATACCATCATCTAAAAAATCCATCTGTTTCACTGAAAAAAAAAAAAAAACAAACAAACACAGAAATGAAGCAGGCCAGGGATTTTATTAGCTAGAATAATGTAGCCCTCTCCTTTTTTTCTAGAGAGGAAATATCAGATACAATAAATAGGAGAGGGCTATATATGAATGCTGCTAGGATTTTTTATTTAAATAACATTCTTACTAGACAATATTGTATCTCTTAAAATTTTGGATCCCTTTGCATTTTTCATCAGGTTGATCGATCAGTAAGAATCTTTTGTGCATTCAAGAATTAACTAAAATTAAATATGCAAGTATGGAAGTTGTCTCCCTCTAACTGCATGTCGTTGAACAAAACTTGTTTCTTTCATGACTACATTTATATAGTTTTTTTTTTTCATGAAATATGTATGCAATGCAGTTGATAGCATACACAGTAGTCTTTCAAGAATACAAAAAAAATTATATATAGAAGCTCATGACACAAGTAATTAATTAAAAGATATACACAGTAGCTAGGGAGGGGAATGATATGGATAAAATAAAGCATTTGTGAAATACACAGTGGATATTTGTTCACATTTGTTATCTCAAGGAAACAGATCAATCAATCATTCAACTGAAAAACTACATGAGCCACTGTACATAATACAAATGCAAATAAAAAATTGTGTGTCTTTGTTCATGTACAATATATAATATCATATGCTTAAGTGTTACATAACATTTTAAACCAATTAGGAAAAAAATTACTCAATTAAATTCAAATCCTATTTCTCTTAATCCAAGAAATCTATTTCATTTCAGTAAAATTAAAAAAAAATCCTCCAACCCAGAAAAGAAAATATTAGATCAGTGCATCAATTTCGTTCTTTGTTTATCTGTTTGTAGGTTCTATAAGAAAGTCAATGATTTCTGGTTTTTATTATTATGCCTTCAGCATGATCAGAAGAGATAAAATGATCAAAAAATTATATGGGTTTGTATAAACACAATCTACAACTAATTGTTTTTCTGAATAATTTTTACCCATACTGACATAAATTCCAGAGAAAATAGTCTAATTACCCCTCCCCTCTCTATCTAATTTAAATGAAGTAGAAATGAGTAGAAAGTCATCTCTTTTTCCCCATCTAATCTGTTGTCAAATGACGATCATGAACCCTTACGAGTCAATAAAAAAAATATAATGAGGCATGAAAAATCCATACAAAGACAAGCAACTTTTTAAAAAAGCTAATTCATTCATAAAATTTTCATGACATAAAAACCACCCATGGAATATGGTCCTAACAGTCAGCTAGCCTATCAGATTTCATATCTTTCAGACAGAAGGGGAAAAATCTAAATGATCCATCATGCTTATATTACAACTGACTTGGTAAAGCTAGAATTGTAGAGAAAATATCAATTGAATATTGAAGTCTTGAAATTCATTCATATAGTATTGAAAACTTGAAACTTGTTTCCTACAAATTTAATTTTAAAATTGGTCATTAATATCATTACATGGTATGTAAACATGCAATTCTAGCACCTATGATTTCAAAGTACCAGGTACAATTGTTTTGACTTCTACACCTCTGGGATTTTACAATCAACCTATATTTTTTATCCAGACTCCAGAGGGTAGGGTGGGGGTGGGGACAATAAATATGGGCTAGCTATTTTTTTTAAGTATTTAATTAATGATGTAATATTGTAAAAGTGGCTGTTAAGGAGAGAGCATATTTATCATTATAGCAGTTGGAATCCTGCTTCACATACATTATTCATCTAGTACATGCAGTCTCTGTGCATGCATGTATACATAAATCCTACAAGTATTATTGTATACACTTATAAACAGTAGCAGGTGCCTGTCTATCCCCATCATTGCACGGCTAATATTTTGGCACCATTTTTTTCTATGAATTATTTTTTTAGTTACAGAGAATCTGGGATATATTACATAACAACGGAAGCTTACACTGCGGAAAATAAACATGGCTCCCCAGTGTATTTATAAACCACTAGCAAGATACATTGTTGGGGGATGTCTGAATTTCACATATTTTAATGTACACAGAGGGAAATAATACTATTTTGCCTACACAAGGTGTGGGTTGATTGTGTAACATGACCTTGATAAATCTGTTATAAATAAATCACGCAATACTGACACCCTAACAGAAGTGGGTGCAACTGTTATTGATTTTGTTGTTCCAATTTTTTTTTTTTTTTCAAAATGATGGCAGATATGAATTAAAATACATAGAGACTCTGAATAAAAAAAAAACCATGATACGAAGACTATTCATTTAGCTTCCTGACTAGAAGTATTGGAGCAGTGCATGTATATATGCATTATGTGAAAATAAAATTCTCTTTTGAAATGCCATGCATCAATCATAACAAATTTATACATTATTTTCAAAAAAAGAATTTGAATTGTCAATTTAAATTTACTTCTAATTCCTAGACCCAAAAATATGCACATGATGTATGTAGAATGTCATCTAATTCTTTTATAATTTATAATCCTTAATATATAACCTGACCTTGACCTGGCATGAACCTTGACATTGACCTCTATCACATATGTACTATTAACTTTTCAATTACTTATTATTAATAAAATAATGATTATGGCCATTTTGTACAATAATTGATTCAGATACAGATTATGCTTCTAATAAATGGAAATTAAGGTACATCTTCACAATTTCACCATTCTTTCATGTTTGTCATTTTCATACTTAATTTTCACTTTTTAATAAACTAAATATACAAAAAATTCCCTTAAAAATGGAAGACATAAACCATGTAAAAGTAATTTTTCAGTGGCTCTCTCAAAATCAGACAGACCGAATAAAACATGATAGGATGGCAGTTTTGACACATTTATATGGCCATTCAACTTCAGAGCTTCATTTCCATTCTGGCTTAGACATGAATCTTTACATATGACAATTAATCGGCCACAGTCCAAGAATATTCAGGTATATTTTTCTCCATGATACATCTTTTATACTCCAAACGTTTTATTATGCAGGGGATTTTTTTTGGAGAGGGGGGGGGTGTTTTCTAAAGTTAGAAATATTACCTAAGTAAAACTAGGTTGTTCTCAGAGTATTTTAAGAATTGTACTTAGTATTTAAATGAAATTTCAACTTCTGGGCATGAATAAATAATTTTATTATTGTAAATGAATTATCTATATTTTATACAGCATTTGTCTGTGTCAAACTTTGAGAGTAACCTCATACCCACCCACCCCCAAATATGGTGAAATATTGGATATGCAATATTTTGTCTCCTGTTTAATTTATAGGCCTCCCATGAGTTTTAAATATCATATAACAGTGAGCTTCAACTTGCAGAAATGACCTTGGGTCAAGGTCATGACGCACTCTCAATTTATGAGCAATCTTCATATGACACAGTTATGAGCTTTCAAATACACCTCATAAAAGTCATTGCTAATTTTACTTATACTTTAATGCTTTTTCTGAAAGCGACCTTGAACTTGCATGCAAGTTCATGCATTTGCACACTTTTTTTTAGGCTTTTGAAAAGGTAAAGATGGGTAATCTTGAGTTCTGTACACATTAAATACATATATATAAATATATACAGTTCATGGATCCACTCCAGCAAAATATTGCAAACAAGGTAAGATTTGTACATGGATAATTGGATACAATGATGTTGATAAGGAGTTTATGGATCCACTCCTGTAAAATACCTGACATAAATATTAAGACTTCATTGAATCCGACCCCGTGAAATACGTACCCCCAGGAGGCCGACTTCGACGACACTTCCTCCGTTTCCACATCTTGGTGGGCGTGTCCTCGCGTGACTTGGCCTGCCTGGGACCCTGCACCTGCTGTAACTTGAAATGATTGTTAACATGCTTCTCCAATAACTTATGTGACGTGAAACTCAAGAGAGCACCCATCCACAATGCATCGGAAGGGCTTATCGCCACAATGACACACCACGTGGTGTTCGAGCCACGCTCGTGATTTGGACTGTACACTATACACCTTACACCCTTCCCACAGGCATGAGACTTTTTTCCCTTTCTGAGAATCCACATGTTTTGACTTGATGTGTTCCAAGATTCCATGCGGTTCGAAGTCTTCACATTCACAGTCTTTCCACTTGCATGTCAAAGGCGGAGGGGGTGTGTCCTTGCATTCACACTGCGAGCTGTCGGCTGAGCGGGAATCCTTACTGATGGGGCTCAGCAAGCAGCTCATGGAGGAAGGTGTACATGAGCGCGAGTTGTCAGGGGTGACTGAGCAGCCTCCGTCTTGCGTCAGCGGTGAGGCGTCGAGCGATCCCTCGCTGGAACACGTCGCCACGCTGTCTTGTCGCGTGGTGTCAGGCATGCAGACACTCTCCATGACATGTGGCATCTCTTCATCGCTGAAACTGAAAAAAAAGAGAAAATTAAAATTATAAGTTAATCTGATTAACATTTTATAGTAATGAAAAAATATTACTAAAATAGACATCCCCATACCCCAAAAGAATTGGCTTTAAAACATTCAAGTACTTCTCCACAAATATGTTCAATGAGGATTAATTAATGATTATATAAAACAACATGAAATTGACTTATTTTATTATCATGTTACTTTTATTAAAATCAAAGAAGACCATGGATACATGTAATAATCAATAAACATTTTAAAAATTTGCCTTCCTTACTTAAAATATTTGAAATGCCATCGACATGAACAATGTAGAATATCCTATCTTCCCTTGAAAACTTTATCACAGATATATAAATTACGCAAGTAATATTCTAGAAATCTATCTATATATACTATTAATCTGCTCACAAATGTTAAGCATGTCACATGCAACCTGTCACATGACATTGTTGCCATGACATTAATGTCAAAAGTGACCTCTTGTCATCAAATTTAATTGTTGAACTACACAGATTGTGATATCACATACCTACCATGTAATTTTTAAGCTGTATACTTACAGAAAGATAATTATATTTCAGATAAATTTAGAATCTAGATTACGTATCATATAATGGTATTAGAAACTTTAACTCGAGTACCAACATTACAGTTTGGGAAACAGCAAATGAATACACTTTTCTTTAATAAGTTGACAGGCCCCACATGGCATTCACGCCCAGAACAATACATGTCAAAATATCGCAGTTTTAACCAGCTGCTCCCATTGTGATGATTGGTCCTGTTTATAACACAGCTATTTTTGGAGAAAACAGGTGAAAATCTTCAGAAATTCATGAAATTTGTCAGGTTTTCAGACATCTTCCTCAATGGGACCCGCGTACCTGATTCATTGAACGTCATAATCTTAAGTAATAGAAGCTCAATCTCAACAATGATGCTACTACATCATGCATTTATGTAACATTTAAGAGTGCATGCAATTTTTAAAATAACAACAGGATAAAACAATCTTTGAATGAGATTCAATACAGTCCAGGAAAAATCACACAAATGCAATATATATATACTTAAAAAGTCTTTCAGATATTTTCTTCAAAATGAGGATTAGGACATTTAATAGATTTTTCTTTTAAATTACTAACTGTATGTAAATATTTTGGCTATAATCGATAATTGTTTCAACTATAAGAAGTTCTGTACATAAGAAAAGAAAAACCCTGTCCTAGCTTCACTTAATTCATGTCAAGAAATCAGAAATTTTATAATCAAGGTCAAAAGAAAGGTCACTCAAGGACAGAGTTTGACAAACTTGAAGAGCTCTCATGAAGATGAAAAAAATCGATACATCATCGAATGTGTTCCAATTTCGAAAATCCTTTTTAAAAAAATTACCCTGGGCTGGTAGCTATACATGTATCAGCTTATTCTTCTAGCCCCACATTTTCGTTGTGATAGTGATGTCAAAATATAGAAGCTTTGGGGGTGGGGGGATGAGGTGAGTGAGGGTGGGAGGGGGGGGGGGGAAATAATTAAGAGCTGGAGGAATCTTGGACTACATGAACTTATTCTTAGGTGCCTCGATCTCATTCATACTGGCGAATAAAAATACTGACAATCAAAAGATGGGCATGATCCAAGGATTTACTTGCACTGGTCACAACCAAGACAAAACAAATGAAATTAACATTCACTGCATGCATTCATCCATTCAAACTTAATTAATCTTAACTACACAAGCTCTATGAAGTGCACTTGTTACAGAAAAGGGTTTTTTTTATTCCAATTCATAATTTGTCAATGCACTAGACCCCCCATAAAAAATCCTGTCCATTGAAATTATCATAAAACTGTGTAACCTGACAAAACTTCCAAGCGTTACAATAAGAGGACGGGGCGAGGATTCCACCGAGTGCAGATGGTGACCCCCTGGTGTTGACCTATGGATTTCAATGAAAGCTCACTGTCAATGCAGTTGACAGCTTAATCCTCTGTCAATGGAAGACCCACTGGCAGTGTAAGGACATGAGACGGCCTCCCTCCCCAGATTTTCTGTTGTTTGAGGCGAATTAAACAATTCATTTCTGATTCTACACTGTACTGATCTGCACTGTCTCTGTCTGCATTTTCCATCCTTTCACTATTGAAGTTGAAAACTATCTTCAATTTCATACATGCCAGGGCTTGAGAATTTAACAGAATTTTTATTAATAAAACGAAGAAATTTATACACTGACTTATTCTCTCTCTGGCTATACCCATAATGTCTTATCTATTATTAAAAATATGAAATGTCATGTTTAATGTCAGACTATCAGACCATAAAATATTTGTTCAAGTTTTGTGCAAAATTTCATGTGAATGAAAACATCAAGCAATTTTACTTCTTGCCCTTGATCTACTCAAATCCCATACTGAGCTTACTATGCCACACAAAAAGTAATAACCATTCAGTTTCTATAACAACAAAATAGCTGACTAACAAACTACACCCTAACAAAATACGTAAATCCATTTCATGATGCAAAATAATAAAAAAAAAAAAAACTCCCTAAAGGCATGAAATTCAAATCCTCCTCCACTCTCAATTCGATTCAAAGAAACTAGGTTTCATTTATTTAATAGGACACAGAATACTGCACTGCAGCATGCAATCTTCAATGGAATCCTCGATCTTTTATCTTATTTCTACATCTGATGGCCTACTTCTAAAACCAATTATTGAACATGTAATTTGTACAACCATTAATATACAAAAGGAAACTTTGATCTAAATACATGTAAAATTTTGTATAATTCTCTTTGCTTAAATTTAAAAGCTCAAAAATGACACCCCCTTCCCCCACCCTTTCCTGCTAATTTTTCGATAACACTTTAAAAATACAAAGCTTGTATATATGCGTATCTAGAAATTCTTTTTTTCCTCCAAAAATTCATTTAGGGTGAAAAAAGAAATGAATTGATCTACTCAGAAACATTTTAATTTCTTATGAGAGCAAAAATTTAGTATGAATTCATTATAAACATAACTTTGTTGCAAATCGTCAAAGAGCTGACTGCTTTTAAGACATTAAATATGCTTTGTCATTTTAAGTCTTGATAATTATCTGAACCATGTCATAATGTTGTTCAGTTATGTAATATCAGACACTTTGAATTTTCTCTGTACATTAAGAAAACTGATATTTCATCCCGAATTTGTCTTTGCATGGTTTCATGTATCCAACCTTCACCCAGAAAACTTCTAAACTTTCTTGAAATTGTGCTCATGACAATGTCAGAAAAGGCAATTTATCCATTTCCGATACTGTAAAATCACAGATTTTATTGGGGTCAAATATTTGTGGTTTGAGGAAAAACTCATGGGTCATAAGAATTCCTGAGGAGGAAGAAAGAGAGGTGGTGTTGGGGGTGCTAATTAAACCATAGGCTAGAAAAGATGAGAGTCTACATGCATTTTCATCAAGAGAAATATTTAATAAGCTATTTGCATAAACTCCCCTGATCTGTATGGATGAGAAGGCACATTTTCATTTTCTTTTTTTTTTTTTTTTACCTTTTGACTCCATTTTTCCTGGAGAACAAATCTTGGACACAAGGCAGCTGACAGGCTATCTTTTCTTCTGTTACACACCTACAAAAAACAACAATACAATTCATCAATGAGTGCATGAAGTTTTGAAAAAATGAACATTATACAGTCAAACCCCATTGGCCAATGATTAAAAATAGATGGGGCTGAGAGAAAAAAACACTTTGAGATAAAAGTGAATTAAAGATAACATTAAGAAAGTCTGACTATGAATAAAAGGGAAATAACTCTTATTATAAGGTTTAAATACACAGAGAACTGAAACTAAATGGAGCATAACACAAGTATTTTAAATTAAATACACCGTTTCCAGGAAGTTTACTAATCCGTCGGATATTTTGGACTAGAATTTTACTTGTCTGATAATATGAATTTGAAGCATGTCAAATGCCAATGAACAGATTTTTCAAAATGGCACATTTAATAAGTTGGCAGTACTTGGCACATGTATATAGTTTATACAGGGATACTCCAAAAAATCCTACTCAAACTTCCAAAAAAAAAGTATCAACACCAATTCCTTTTTTAAAAATATATATCTAATCCATAATCTCAGGAAAAAGAACAACCAACGCTCCCTTTTCACCTTCTCAAGTTATATAACTTCCTTTGGGAATGGTATAACTAGTACCAATAAACTTCAATCAGTTGTCTGTACCAGAAATCCACTTGAAATTGAACAAGGATTAGAAAGATAAAATAGAAACCTCAGCAGTATATTTATAGTATACATATCTATCTTCAGAGTGCAGCAGAACGTGCTGCTAATCAATCTAAAACTAAAATCCCGAACTTTCACAAGATCACAGAAAATATAGTGTTTCCTCAGAGTAAAAGGTTTTTGCCTGATAATACATCAACTGTTTTTATCTTTATTTAAATTAGATATGTTTAAAACATTGCGTTAAGTCATTCCAGGATGTCACTTTTATAATACTTTTTGTTAAATTTTAAGTTAAGTAGCTGTGAAATAAAAATTGTCAATACATCAAACTTAATTTATATATCACATTTATCAATATCAGCATGATTATATATTAAGTATCAAAAAAGCTTTTGAGAGCTTTAGAGTATCATTTTATGAACAACATTAAATGGCCATAAAACAAAATTAAATGACTTCAGAACATCTAAACATAAAATCTTAATTCATCAATATTCAACTGAAAAATTATTAAATACCCTTGCATATTTCCGAACGAAATTCCCCAGTTATATGGGTCCATATTGAATAAAGAATAGTCCACTCCAAACATAATTGATTCGGTAAACTTTGGACCAAGAAAAAGTACTTTTCAACCAAAAAAGATGTGTTACAGTCCTTTCATTACTAAATATATTAAGCACACACACATACAGAAGCATATATATATTTTGTGTGTGGGTGCAAATATCACATGTCGTAGGTGACGTCTGCTAAATATATATGCCATGTCAGTCGAGATGGTTTTAAAAAAAAAGTTTGATGACGCGCATTAATACTTTGTGAAAATGACAACAGTCGATATATAATTTACTGCAATACCCACACAAGGATCATAGCGGATTCAATCTATTTGTTATCACATCATACTACTTATATAACACGAGATATTGATTTTTTTTTTAAAGTATACACTGAGTGCAAAAAATGACATATGTATTACAATTACGCAAGTAGATGAATTTAAAGATTAGTTCACATCAAGGGATTATGCTCAATTGTCTTTAAAAAAATCAATTCTGAAAAATTATCAATTCATCTTTTAAGTCCGTCAAAATCTGCTGTCTTCTTTTCTCTTAATTTTTTTCTTTTCATATATTAAATACATTTTCATGCAACACATTTTTTGGTTAAAACATTCCATCTCACAAATCCAAAGTTTTTTTTTCCAAATGAAGACTTTGATGAATTAATTTATGAAGAATTTCCTGGGGATCATAAATCTATCATTTAAAATAAGTGGCCAGCATGGCACAGTGGTTAGAGCATCTGCTCAAGAGTTGCAGAGAAAGAAGTTGATCCTCTGATGTTGTAGGTTCAAATCTCACTGCTTGGACCCAGAGATCAGTCCTTCGCATGAGACCATATATAAACAGAGATCCTGTAAATTGCAGTAGGTGCTGGCAAGAAAAAGAATTCCCTTAATGCTCAATGGTCCAAAGTGCCATAACACTCGGTCTATAGGTATGAATGAAAAATTCTAGAAGGGACATTTAAAACCAAACAAACAATTTTCAGAGAGAAGTAAATTTTTCTGTGTCTGATATATGCATGTAATTATCAGCATGTACACAGCTTTGACATTGTCGAGAAAGCAGTGATACTGGAGTTGCATTAAAACCACAAACCACAAGTATATTGGAACAGCTAGTTTGTTTTCCTGAAACTGCATACACTATGAAACTTCACTCTATTTTTACTTTCATAATAAAAACACATTCCAGTAATTCACATTTTAAAAATAATGATCTAGATCTTTTCCAGCTTTCTGTCAAAAAAAGCTAGTGTGAGAATTTTCACTTCCTTAACTTCATGCTCTTAATCTTGAAATGCTTGGAAATTAAGTTCTAAGGTATCTAGCTATTGAAGAGAGAGAGAGAGAGATCATTCAAATATTGATTGCTGATAAATGCAATAATGAAAATTGAGAATAGCAGATGATAGCCCTCCAAAAGAAAAAAAAATCAATAAAAATAAATAAGGAACTTATATGTACATATATCTATCAAATTCATCATATTAATAGGATTGATTTTTCATAATCAAGAAATATATCATGTACGTAAGTACCCATAATTATTGTAATTAAACATCTTGAACCTCATTTGATTGCTTGTTTGTTTAAAGTTGATCCCTTCAAATATTTTTCACTAAAATGAGACCCCACCTGACTTGCCACTTTAGGGCTGCCAATTTTGATCAGGCCTGGTGACCATAAAACTTAGACAAGCTCATTTTTTATCTGTCTCACTTTTTCCAAAGGAATTACATAGTGGAAAAGTAAGACTGCATGAGAATAATAGTAAGCTCTCTTAAGTTTTCTGCCCTACCCCCTCAACCCCCCCCCCCCCCCCCGGCCTGTATTCAGCACTTACATGAGCAACATGAGCAGTGAAGGAACTTTTTTGTGCTAGCCCCTACTGCAACACATTTAAGCCTAAAGGACCAATCTTCACATCCTTAATAGCTTAATTGTATAAATTAGAGATGTGAGCAAGTTGACATCTTTTTATTATACACATCAAATTATTATTCTACCTCTTTATAAATAGCACTCCTTATGTAACGCATACACTTAATTAAGGCCAAAAATTAATTTCTCCATGAAAAGTACAACCATAGACATTTAATTATAATACAGTCTTAAGTATAACATACTTATATATACACATTGTGTAACACAGTGACCTACTTTCAAGTTTATAAACAATGTGGCTAAAAGTTTCTTAATGTTCTCGAAGGAATAACCTTGTGAACAATTTTAAAGTTAATAGGCCTCTGTATCATAACATTATATTTTTTTTATGCATTATGAAACCTCTGTATTTGTATAATGATTTTCCTGTTAGCCAGTTTCATTTGACATGAAATTTAAACATCAAAGGTTAAGAGATTCGTAGTTCAATCATCTTTTTATTAATTGTAAAAATACCTGACTTGTATGTTTATTGCTGTTCGACTTATTGTATCAGTTCTGGGAAGACTTAATATTTTTCAATCAAATTATTTTTGGTTTCAAATTTAGTATTTTATATTCATTAATTAAAAAGCTGTCAATTCATTAATACAGAGAATTACACTTCACATTCAGGCACCACAACATAATAAAAATTCCTCCCTCATTCAAGTAATAAATCATCATTATAAAAAGACAAAAATTATCGCACAAATTTACAAGTACCTTTGAGTCAGTACAATAAATTGGAAATAAAAAAATCAATGCATTCTCTAATCTTCAAATGACTTGCAATGGCTACTTTACATTTCTGCCATCAAGAGCAGGCAAGCCTGCTTGAAAAGTAGAAGAATAAATGGGACTTGTATCTAAGAATCCAGTCTAAATATTGTTACTGTTGAATAAAATACACATATTTTTGAGTGTTTCATGTAAATTACTCCCACACACATATTAAATTACTGCATTTACAGTAACTGAAAAAATAACAAACTGTTACGTGCACAGGATGACACCCATACCTTTTATTAGCAGCAAGTAACACACTTCTTTGTGGTAGCGCTATATCATTTAATAGGTAGTGTTCAATATTTAAAAGTTAAATAACCATTGATGTTTTTTCACACATGTAACCCATATTAAACTGTTAAATATGGCATATCGGTTCTTAACTCACTATAGCCACATAGAACAAATTTCTCTCAGTTTAGTGGTCTCTACTGCAGTTTTTTCATTAAATGCAGAAAACAATTCCATTACTTCAAATCATTTGTACAAATTAAATCACACAATTCAGTAAATTCTTCCTAACTTCAACATAGTCATTGTCGTACAGGCAAAACTTCAAGATTTTGAGTAAGGGTTACTTTACAGTGAGGGTAGTTGGCTTGCAAGTCAATGAGAATGTTTGGTGGAGAGTCAGGGTGGGGGTGGGGTGGTGGTGAATTAAGCCCCATTAGCTCCTGAATATGTGCATGTCATGTGCACTCACTTTAATAGCTTTAAATATTTTGTACTGTACTTAAATAGGTCATCCTAACATAATTCAAAAGTATGTCAGACAGACAGACAGAGAATGAACAGTGACAATTAAATGAGTGCATAGTGCCGTCTGCCAATCAAAGTATAAAAATCCTTTAAAAAGTTGATAAAAATGCACTGGGTTAACACAGCAAGAACTAGAGAAGATTTGCAGACTGGTAGAGATGCCAAAAAAATATACGAAAATGTGTTGGGCCATCATTTTCATGATTTTTATATCTAAAAATATTGTCATAGTTACCACTACGATATTACTTTTTCTTTAAAATCAATGAACTAATTAATCGATACATTTTAGTACATGATATTGAAAATTTTCAGCATAGAAATTGACATATAAACAGTAGAGATATATATATGTTACAAAAATAAAAACTGACAGTTCAGGATAAATGAATAATTGCCGGAATGCAAAACAGAAACTTATATTACCCCCCATCAGAGAAATGTGACAGATTGTCGGCCCCAGGGGGGATAAACACAGCATCATTGATTATTATTGTACATCTATCATTCCAATAATAATATATACATGCATTGCAGTAACTGGTTAGTGTAAGTCATGAAAAGTAGTCACTTGAAAAATCAACAAATATAACACAGCTTTTATAAAAACATAAATTTTATTTCCTGATCAATGCGATTTCTAGTGCTCTTCAAAATTACGCCAAAGTTTGAAATAGAAATTGCACCATACAAATTACCTCATATATATTCCATTCACAAAAATCAAAAAAAAAATTCTTAATGAAAACCATTAATAATAAAACATGACAAAGCCTTTTGTTTAAGGAAATATCAAATTGTCATGGCAAGCAAGTGCAAGAGTACATTAAAAAATTTGATCATTACAACATTTTAATAACCAAATCATTAAAACACAAAAGAATTATTCAAGCAGGAATTGAGGGATAGGAGAACTCTCAGATCCTGCCCATGAAAAATGGCTGACCTTGCACGAGTCTATATACAACACCTGAGCAATAAATATATCATAACCCAGAACCCAAAATAAACAATTACCTGGCGGGGTCTAGCCCGAGCATGAAGTTCAATGCGATCTCTGGCAGGTTCGACATGTGTCTAGCTTTGTTTACATTTCCTCTTTCCTCATTTCAGTGACTTCACAGGGTTTTTTTGGGGGGAAGAAAATGAAGAATGATTTGTCCCTTCACAAGGGTTAAACAACAAATTGAGAGAAAAGTGGAGAAAAAAATCTCTTCTCTCTACATTACGAGGTTTTTCCAGTCTTTCGACACTGACATTTGAGCAGACGTCGATACAAAAGTCTTCATATTTGATTACCTCCGTTTTAACAGTGGTCTGGATAAGAAAAGTATTCGTTGAGATCTTTGTTATCTTTTTTTAGTCAAACATTAAAGGGAGCAATATATCAATATGTATATTTTTAACCATTCTTTGGAACAAAGGGGTTAAATAATGTCTGCACAAGACATATTTCAAACATGTCTAAATATCGAATTTTTATATCCCCCTTTGCTACAACCTATTATATTCTTTCAGGTCGAATGCTGCTCTAAACTAACTTTCTGTACACAAATTTAAGGGGGAAAAATAAACACTAGGCACAATTTCCTTTTATTAGAAGTTTGAAAAAAATTCCAAATTAATAGATCCTCCTTCCACACTGAAAGAATTCCAAGATCACATAAAAAGAAATTGCTATCCTCAAAATTTCTTCACACAATTATCTTTCCAAAATCCACAACTAATATATATTCCACTGAAGCGAAGGAAGAAAAAAATCACTACTTAAACCACTAGGCATCGAATAATTATAATTGTCAATGTATGACGAGGCCTCGAGACCAGAGTGAGACAGAAAACCAGAACAAAGGAATCAACTCAGTCAGCATGGCTGTGAAGAGTTTCACGTACTCTATCGGCTAACGCTAGGGCATTACCGTTCACCTCATATATACGTAACCCACTTTTTTTCTATTTCACCAGTGGATGATTACATATAAAACTGACAGCCGGCACTTATTGTTCAGTTCATTGAACTTGGACACTTTAGTACATTATATATAATATATAAATACAGGAACTCCTATATGTGTCATGTCGATGCTCTCTGCTAAGCATTGTGTGACACATTGACACAGATTTCTATATTCTGACCAAGTGAATATTATCTATCGTCAGTCTTTGACGTTGGAGCGTTATATAAATATTTATCAATTGTAAAAGTCATTATACTCAAATAAGTTCTAGAACTACTAAAAATTAAAGTTTTTGTTTGAAAAAGGTCGGTAAAAAGAAAAAGCAGACATTCTTTAATTATACAGATTTGATTGTCTTCTAAAATTAATATAATACTTTCTCTAATCTCAGTTTTTGCTGAAATAATTCAAAATTGAATTTATATATATTTATTTTGAAAATTCTGAAAATTAATTTATAAAGGTTTATTTACTAAATTTTTCTAAATATTTGCTTCCTTTTATATGTTGCACAAAATGTTACTAAAATAATTGTTCTTGACTTCAATTAATTGTATGTATATACAAATTTATACCAAAATGTACTATAGTTTAACTTAAATATGCACGTCATAGTAAATTTTGTAAAACCATTTTGAATACACCATGCTGAAAATATATATATACGTCATTGACCAAATTAAGACAAATCAAAAACAAAATCAATTTTCATAAAATACACTCCTTTTCTTGCAAACAACTCTGGTAAATGTATAGAACAATGACAACAGAAGTGTTTTCAAAAAACCATACCTCTAAAGCACGTACACAACATCACATGCAAATCCATGCATTTGCAATTGATTTAATCCAAAAGAATTTAAAGACAATTGAATAGAAATTGATTACTAAACTTCATGAAAATTTAAGCAATTTAAGATTCAGAAAATGAAGCTGACCTTGAAATATATGGATTAAAATAAACATTTTTGGAAAACTAATAATCCAATTTTATCTGCAAAATTATTTAATTTTTTTTTAATTATATACAATGAAAGATGTTTCATATTTAAATATGAAATAATTTAAAAATGAAATATTTGATCTTCATCATGTTTATATTGATTTAAACATCTGTGTATTTTCTTAAAAAAAAATTAAATATAAAGGAATAAAAAAATGTTAATACTAAAATTCATTTTGCCTATATAAATACTGTTAATAAATTTGGTGTAAAATTACAAAGTCGTTTAATGTTTTTTAAGTTGCTAATTGGTTCTTATAATGTCAAAGTGTGGTTTAAATGGTAAGAATGACGAACACTTCATATCTTTAATATTATTAAATATTCTGGTATTTTATTAATAGAAGTCTTTTGATAATATTTATGATTCATGTTAATTTCAAGAATTTCCATGCAGTGATCTCCAATATGATCTACATTCAAATGATTTTAAAATGACATAAGTACTTGACATTTTTATTAATAACATTAATCTGATCACAATATTGTCAATGTGATTAATAAATCTGATTTTTTAGAGTCAAACAGTATATTTCTGGTAAAAATAGATCTATCTTAAATAGGAAATATGAAATATGCTCCTCAAGAGAAATCCATTGTCATAAATAAATATTGTCATTGCCTTTATATCATTTTTTTTTACTCTTTAAATTTATAATTATTACTTAATCTAAACTAAAAGCAAACAAGTTTAAATTATGTGTGAACAAAATAAAAACAATTTACAATCAATATGAAGAATTCAAATTTTTGGAGTTTGACATTGCAATTCAGGGGGAATAACTCCAATTTTGCATGTGAGCACATTACTACTGACACACATTTTAAAAATAATTGCCCCTCTAAATGTGTGTGTAAACATGACAAAAAAAGTGTAATGCAATATGATTCATCACTCAAGAATTCCTCCTTCAAGGCATTAACCTTTAAATTCAAACCCTGCAATATTGATATTGATGAATGGGCAGGAAATTCTCAAAACTCTTGATCCCCCTCCAAACATAATGCATTGAAAAATGCCATGAATTTATAAACTACCACAATGCAAAATTGGACTTCTTAATTTCCTTTCTTCCTGTACTGTAGTTGTATGAATCCAATAATTAACAATACCCATATCAAAAAATAATACAGAAAAGTATATTTTTAATATATTTTTAATACATTCATTTTTGTACTTTCTTAAAATAATACAGAAAAAATATATTATTTTCCTATCAGAAAGAAAAAATTCAGTATCTCATTTTTGTATTAAAATTTGACTTTGATTTTGTACAGTATATTATTTTTGTATTTTTTTGGACTTAGATTATTTTCAGTGTATTATTTTTGTATTTTTTCTGTATCAAATTTGAACTTAGTAATTTTACAGAAAAGTCTATACAGTTAGACTGTATCATTTCTGTATTAAATTTGGACTTCATAATTTTACAGAGTTTGTCTGTATTATTTTTATATTAAATTTGGACTTTGTAAATTTATAGAAAAGACCTTACAGTTAGACTGTATTATTTTTATATTAAATTTGGACTTGGTAATTTTACAGAAAGACAGTCAGTATTTTTTGTATCAAATTTGATTTTAGTACATTTACAGAAAATTCCATATATTTGGTCTCTATTTCTTTTTGTTGTTAGGGGGGGGGGGGGGGGGTAAATTTAGACATATTTTCTATTTACATTTGTCTCTATGAACTTTATAAATTTTAGAGAAATTCCTTGCAAAATGTCTGCTGCTTTTTTTTTTATAAGTTTATAGCATACCCGGTACTTAGAAAATTTTTATTATATATTTTTTTCAGGAATCTTGGTATCCAATTATATAGAACTTAAATAATTAATTGGTACTAAAATTTATGTTAATCTCAATCAGTGGTAATCCAGAGAAATATTTCCGTCTTGGGCATGAAGATTTTACAGCGGGTTTACATTGACTTTTCAGCGGGTTTACATCTTTCACGTGTTTACATCTATCACACAACAGGTGGTCTTGCAGGCTAACAATTGATTGCATCATACTACAATTCAGAAATTACGTGATTTACCTGTGCACATGGAAAGTCCCAACTAGCTATTACCATGCATACGATGTTTTCTTCAGATTTTAGTATATATGTGCATTTTTTCACTCAGAGAAGGAATCATATTCAAATTATCCTAAATAACTTTCAAGAAATGAGCTGACAATGTTCAAGTCTAGAAAGGGATGTGCAAGTAGTAGGTTTCCTAATTTAAATTATCAGTGTGTTTAAGATAGATATTTACACTAGAGAAAGTTAGCTGAAACATGTGCAAAAATTATTAAAGTTTGGAAGTATTAATTTTTTTAACCTGCTTGGACTGTGTTATTTGTGTAGTAGTACAGTCAATTTAATTATTCTAGTAGTTGTAATGTAAGTTGTTTTTATTCAGATAAAATATCAGTTTTTCTTCAACTCTGTGTTTAATTCTACTCTCAGTTAAAAAAAAAACGATCCTGATTTTAATTAGTTAATAATTTACAAGTTAATTATCTTTGATCTTCGGCTAATTCTTGCATAATCAATGCAATCAAATGACAGTTTCTCAAGTTAAATCTTCTACCCTGACAGCCTGAGGCATGTTAATTAGCCAGGTGGCTGTGTGCTTGTGTTCAAGCGTGAAGTGATTTCCTGTCGTGAATTCACACTTGGTTGCGTTATGTAAACAAGAGATTATCAGTATGCACTGAATAAACAGAACAGCTAAGGAATATTGCCTACACTGGGAATATTTATTAATTTTTTGTTATGAAAATAGGACATGGCGCCAAGAAAAGGGGGCATGGCTCTGTGCCTTGCTATTTTGCTTTAGATTTAACACTAAATTGACCCTTCTTCTTGAACTTTATGGTCTATTATACGAGTCAACTTGTATACTAGTGATTAAAAAAACAAAAACAAAACAATATGGCTGACCAGAAATCTTTCTCATCTGTAATCGGAAAATTTCTTAAAAACAAAAATAACGATTATAAGAAATGATTCCTAATAATTATTCTAGTAATTATCAAGGGTTTATTATATTGATTCCATATTACTTATTAGACTTCGTACATAAATAAATTTCCTTAGACTGTTAAAAATATTTTATATTTAAAAATCGGCAATCTTCGTAAATAAGG